CGGCGCTGCGGGACCAACCCAGCAGCACCCCAGCTGCTCTGCCCCAGGCGTGTCCGATTCAGCCACTGCTGGTCAGTTTCAGCAGCGGCTGAATCTGGACGCCAGTTCCGACTTACATACAAATTCAACTTAAGAACAAACCTACAGTCCCTATCTTGTACGTAACCCGGGGACTGCCTGTACTAAGTTACCACTTTCTTTCTTTCTTTCTTTCTTTCTTTCTTTCTTTCTTTCTTTCTTTCTTTCTTTCTTTCTTTCTTTGTGTGCACACACACACTACCTGTGTTCGCATTACTTGGCAATTGCAAGTGATGCAAATATGTACAGTTTTCCTATGTTTCATACCAACTCTGGTTTAAACAATTAAAATTGCCAAGGTTAAGCATGCAACTTTTGCATTGCAAGGACTTACCTGTGTGGGTTAGTGGTAGTAACTGGATTCTCTCACGATTTTCTGTGGTAATGTTGCATAAAAAGTTACACTCCATCTGGAATGGTGGTCACACTCTCTAAAAACCATACAGCACAAGTTCTGAGAGAGTAGGTTTACGGCCCGAAAACAGCCATGCAAGCACCTGGGATAGGAAAACACTCTGATTACCAAATTAAATGGTTGCTATTAGTAGCCTATATGAAGTGATGCTCCTTTAGGCTGGGTACATGTTTAAAGGCAGCAGTGTACAGATGTAAGTAATAAGACTCTTCATGATTTCCTACCTTTTGAAAACATACATATTTAATTTCTCTTACTATTGGTAAAAGGAACCAATTTGTCTTTTTACCATTCTAATTTAACTTTAATTATAAGGCAGGCCATTGTGAAAATGCATTTCTGTGACTTTGTGTGTGGTTTTTTTTCCTGTTGATCACAAATCGGAGATGTAAGTAGTGAAGGTGGATGTTTTGCAAGCCTTTTAATTGGTTAAAAATTTCCCACCTTCCCTTTAAACAAATAGACCATTAACATATTTTTTAAAAATTGCAGTGACAGCCCTTGAATTAATAGCCTTCCTGTTTTTCCGTAGGACTTTGTGATATATATATCTTAGTTGTGACTGTGGAGGGCTTGCATTTTTTTATGCCTTTTCCCCCCTAATCATTATGTAGGTTTTACTCTTGGATGAACCAACTGCTGGTATGGACCCATGTTCTCGGCACATTGTTTGGAATCTCCTGAAAAACAGAAAAGCCAATCGGGTAACGGTCTTTAGTACTCATTTCATGGATGAGGCAGATATTCTTGCTGGTGAGTGTTGCCATGGCCATGTGGGCCACTTTTATTAGGGGAATCAGAAGTGTAAATTAGAGCTGAATTTAGCATGCAAGGTGCTCCTTCCACTGTCAGTAGTCAGACTTAGGGTGTGTCTAGACTACATGGTTTTGTCGACAAAAGTGGACTTTTGTCGACAAAACTACACCTGCGTCCACACTGCCTTTGAGTTATGTCGACGTATGTAAACCTCATTCTACGAGGAATAACGCCTTTTGTTGACAGAGTTCTGTCGATAGAAGGCATTATTGCATCTACACTGTCCTTTGCGTCCACACTGTTAGGTCGACAAAGCAGCTTGCTTTGTCAGCAGAACTGGATGTAGTCTAGACGCTCTTTGTCGACAGAAGTTTTGTCGACAGTATCTGTCGACAAAACCCTGTAGTTTAGACGTACCCTATGTCACGCCATTGTTTTGTGACTAGATTGAGGGTCCTCATAATAAAAACTCCTTTGTTTGTTTCTAGATCGAAAAGCTGTGATTTCTCAAGGGATGCTGAAATGTGTTGGCTCCTCTCTCTTCCTCAAAACCAAATGGGGAATTGGCTACCGCTTGAGGTATTATTTTGTAGTTTATAAGCCACTTTTGTTGTGTCATTTTATATTTGCTTTGTCTTCTAATTAAGTTCTAGAATAGCCAATTACATTTTTTTAAAGTTTTTATTATTCTGTGGTGTTGTTTCACTTGGTTGACTGCACTTCCAAAAAATGGCAGTGAAGAAGCAAAGAGGTTTTAAAATATTTTTTTTTAATTTATAGTATGCATATAGATGGGTATTGCAATATAGAAACGACAACAGCCTTGATCAGACAACATATCCCCGATGCCAGCTTGGTGCAACAGAATGAACTGCAGCTTGTGTATACTTTACCTTTTAAAGACATGGACAAGTTTCCAGGTACGCTGCTGTTGTAATTCAATGCTGAGCTTGTGTGTGGGTGGGTAGGTGGGTGGGGGCGTGGAGAATGGATGGATCATGATGGTGCCTTCAGAGAAGTATGCTGTCATTTTTCTTTATAGGCAAATGTTCTTTATTGATGTTTATAATTTGTGAAAACTGATTAGAGTGTTGAAAATTTGTGAGCATGTTCCTTGCCTTAATTCCAAGTCGCTCATTCATTTCTTCAGCCGGTGGGGACTAAGGCCTGGTCTACGCTTGAAACTGAAATCAACCTAGTTACGTTGCAAAGGGGTGTGAAAAATAGGGATGTGAATGGGGTAACTGGTTAACTGGTACCCGGGAGCCTGTGAACAGAGGGGCTGCTCTAGTCTTGCTGGGCCTCCGTGTGGCTTGAGCCAGGAGCCGTCTGCCTGTGTGGTTGGAGTAGGAGCCCTGTGGACTGAGGGTGAAGTCGTGCCCTTCCCAGGATCCCGCTTAGTCGGTTAACCAATTAAACAATAGGTTAACCTAACGTTTAGCCGGTTAACTGATGAGTTGGGGTTTTACATTCCTCGTGAAAAATTTACACCCCTGTGAGAAATTAAAGCTGCCCTAAGACCCTATGTAAATGCTGCTGGATTGATGGAAGAACTCTTCCATTGTCCTAGCTACCACCTCCTGAGGATGTTCCAGTCACAGAAAACCCCCTTTCATCACTGTAATAAGTGTTTACACTCCAACACCATAGCTGTGTGGCTGTAGCCCTTGTAGTGTAGACATAGTGTTAGGCCTACTCTACACTAAAAAATTAGGCCATTCCAGCTAAGTTGTTCAGAGCTGTGAAAAATCCATACCCCCTGTAGGACGTACATAGAGCAACCTAGCCCTAGTCTAGACAGCACTAGGTCAATGGAAGAATTTTTCCATCTATTTCAATAGTACCTCCTGGGGAGGTGGATTATCTGCGCCATCTGGAGACCCTTTACCATTGGCGTTGGTAGCAGTGTCTATGCTGAAGCACTACAGAGGTGTAGCTGCTGTGCCGCTGTAACATTTCAAGTGCAGACAGGCCCTGAGACTGCTTTAGGGACTGGGCTCAGCTTCTGGAGGAGAAAGGGGTCCCTCAACTCTTTCATCCTTGCAGCTGCTCAAGGTAGCCCAAGCTTCCGCAACAGGAAACCAAGTACGTTAACTGTGAGGTGAAGTTTTGGCAACAAACATGTAAAGCAGAGGAGGATGGGGTTTGGCAGTGGAAATGCAGAGAATCCTGCTCTTGGTCCAAGATAACCCTCTTCCACTGTCGGCGCACTTTTTCTTTTATTAAATTGAAACAAAATAAACTGTGATCGTTTTAACCAAAGTGTGGCAAAAGAGACCCTCGCCATACAGGATGCCAGCCTGTTGTGAGCAGGAAAGGAGACACTTTTGCCACAGGGAAATTCGCCACTGTGGGAAAGGAAGTGTGAAACGAATACAATGGATCGAATCAAATCTCTGTGAAAAATACTTAAAAAATGGCATTCAAGTTGCGAGTGTAGATGAAAAATTGAAGGTAAAATTCATTTTAGGGATCTTGCATGTTTGTTTGAGTGCACTGGCTTTGCCCTTTCATATGTTAATACTCTGCATGGCGGTAGGACATACTGAGTCAAATCCTCTTCTGAATCAGATGGAGAGAAGATTTGAATCGACAGCTCCCATCTACGTGATGAGAGCCTTACGCTCCGGTGGAGAGAGTTAGTCTCTCTCGCTGGCCAAATGGATATTTCTGCATTCATAAAAAGTGGCGCAGCTTTAAGAAAAGAGATTGGAAGCAGATTGCCTATGATCTTGGTGATGTTTCTAAAAGGATTATTCTAAGAGGGGTGGTTGAGATTCTGTGGCCTGCACTGTGCAGGGGGTCAGACTAGATGATCATAATGGTCCCTTCTGACCTTAAAGTCTATGAGTCTATGAGTTTCATCTGAGAAGGGAGAAGTCTCAATTCATGTCTTTGCCCAAGAGTGGAGTTTCAAACTTGTCTCCTAGGGTAGTCTACGCAGCAGGGCTTAGCTCAATTTGCGTAGCTTATTTTGAGTTATGTCAATTGCACAGCTTATTTTGAAACAGCTTATTTTGAAATAGGGAGTGTCTGCATAGCACTTATTTCGTAGTAGAGCACTCTTCCTTCCACTTCCCTTACTCCTCGTACAATGAGGGTTGCAGGGGTTGGAGTAAGAAGTCTTCCAGCTTGACAGTATTTTGACACTATTTCGAAATAACTGCCTGCTGTGTAGACACGGACTAAGCTATTTCGGAATAGCGCTAGTTATTCTGAAATAGTGTTGCAGTGGAGATGTATCCCTACAGACCAAACAACCCCTGGACTAAAGGTTACACGGACACATGCAGTTTCAGGTGTGCGTGTATGGTGTGATGTATGCATCTTTTCGTGAATACACCATTCAGAAAATTTCACTGAGCTCTATTACTAAGATAGACCTGTTCTTCCCCCTTCCCCCTCCCCCCCCAAAGCTAACAGGTGCTACATTTTTAAGGACTCTTTTTAAAATTAATGTTGAGTCTTGAACTATTTAATGGGCTGATTGAAGCTCTCAACATATTCATTCTGTACTCCGAGGATAAATGTGTAGTTTTGGGAATAATCTGTTGCATTTCTCATGTGTTATACATTCATACTTTAAGCACAAAACTCATCATTAACTATAATGCCATTACCTAGGTTTCTCTAATTAATATCTTGCACATACAAACAGTGCACACTATGCCTGTTTATTAAATCAGAGACGATTTTGGTGAGCAAATATAAATTTGTTTCTAAGCAACTGCATTATTTCACCTCCAGGATTATTTTCTGATCTAGACACTCATTCACATTTGGGTGTTATTACTTACGGAGTTTCCATGACAACCTTGGAGGATGTGTTCCTGAAACTGGAAATAGAAGCAGAAATTGATCAAGCAGGTGAGACATAACTCTAATATTTATATTTTTCTTTGTGACTTGATTAGTCAGGATTAATTTTTATGAAATTGTATTCAGCACTTTTCACTATTAAAAGCAGTTTATTATGGAAATGATAATTCAAAGTCCTCTTGTAGAATATTACATCAAACAATAAATGACACTTAATATCCCATGCTGTTATGGGTTCCTTGAAATACTTGACCAGAACAACAAACGGCAAAGTGATTGGGAAAGGATTCTTGTCAGAGGTCCAAAGCTGTAGAGAGCTTGTGTTGACCTTCTGTACAGGGATGAATTTTAGTGTTTTTCCCATAAGATAGATTTTATGGCTGAAAGTTCAGAAATATATTTTTCCCTATGAGATTTTGCATTTGCACTCAGCCATGGACACACAAAGTATAGTTTAGATTTCCAAACATCTGATTTGGAAAATATATTTGTACTTGTAAACCAGAATTTAAATATCTCGCCATCATTTATGCTCACAATTAATTGCACCCCTATTTGATCATGGATGGAAAATCAAGAGGCCTGTTTGCAATGCTTTAAGGAGATTACTCCAAAAGTAAACAGTACCCTTCTATTGTTTAACAGATGAAATTATCTTCACTTTCCAGCTTAGTTGTTAACTCCAGAATATTGAACTATCCTATACCTGCAAAGTTCTTTAGAAAGAATTTAACAGTTGAATAATCCATGATATCTAGCAATATTGGTAATTACATAGGCTAAATTAATTAGGCTAGTGAGTCTTCTCCTTTTCGGTACATGCTGGTGGCTGACGGGGCCAGAAAGGAGTTCTCTGCTTTTCTACAGCATGGCACAGTGTGTTTAGGTACTTTGTAGAGACTTTGTCTTATCATCATTTGTCTCCCCCTGTAGGCAGGACATGACATTAGATAGTTCAGTGGCTTGATCAGGAAAGGTAAATCCTGTACTTCCATTTATATCCCCCTCTCTTTTCCTGTAGATTATAACGTGTTTAATTTCCC